TTTCATTTTTTTTTTTTTACCAAAAGTTATATTTTACTTGTGTAACCGCAAAAACATTACATTAACTGAGGAGCGTGTTGGTAACACTGACTGGCAGCAGAAAGAATAAAACGAACTTCTGTTGCCAGCAAAAACATAGTCGAACATTTTTTGCGGAAAATAAAATTTCTCTCGAGGAACTAAAATCACAAAGTCGCTGTTGGTATACGCGCGCATTTTTGCGACTTGCGTGAAACCGTCTCTTAGGATATTTTAAGAGAAAAACTGTTGTCACTCGAGGCTTTACATATATATTGTGCAGAGAATGTACATAAAATAAAAGGAGGTAAACATGTATTATCGATTACTAAGCAATTCAGAACTTAATGGATCCGGATCTTAAAATACTGGAAATTTAAATGTTTTAACATGATTTGGACGCGCTTGTCTAATACTCGGATAAATTGTCATTGAAATCGAAATTGATACCCTTTCCAAAAAAGAATGCACTGAAAGGTAGACAGGTTACCGATTTTGCAATAAATGGAAAATCAGTTTAAACTTATGGCCATCTTTTTTCTTCTACTTTTCACAGATCAAGGCTTATAATGTGTCCTATCAGGCCCTTCAAAACTGCTTTGCAATATTATTTTTTTTTAATTTACGGAGCGCTAGACAAACATAATTGCCGTAACGGTAGTAAAGAAGGGTACGACGTTGCCGATTTCAAACAAAGGGCAAGAAAGTGGTCAAAAAATGTAGGAAGTCTGTGAAGAGAAAGCACTGTGACAGGAGTTCGTGAAAAACAAAAATTCATACAAACGATTACAGGTCAGTTTGAAGCATGCACAAGCCAACAATTTAAATACAAATTTCTCGGATCAGTGAATTTCGGAGCCTACCCTTCGTAGGGAGCTGGGCTGCTAACGACCACGTTTAAATAGTGAAAATGAAAGAACACATGTTTAATGTGGTACAATTGAGACGAGTTTAACGAATCAAGATCCGGGGCGCACATTCGGCGTTTGTCGCGTGCATTCTTTCTGCCTGGCGGTGACCTGGGTCTGTCACGGCGCTCTGCTGGCACTCCGAGGAAGAGCATTTTTTTCCCGCTTTGCATGTAGCGATCACTGTATGTTTCTTCTCAGTGGCACCGCAAGCTCGCGACATCGATCTGCTTTTCATCAGCCATAGGAGGCTTTACTTTCAAAGATATATCTTTTCAGCGTCTACTGTTCTTGCTAAAACAGCTGTGGTTGCGAAGTGTCGGACCGCGTAAATTGCCACAGGTGACAGGACTGAATTCCACGCACAACATAAAGAGAGTCCCACTTCTTTGCTTTCATGTCCCTGAACGCCTTGACGTTAGCTTTTGGGAGGTGGATTAGTTTCACGTTCGGGAGTTTAGTGTTCACTGGAGCAACCATCTCTGACGCCGACTTGATCACCAACGTGGTGGACCGTCGGAGGTTGTACGACTTTGCCTGGTGCTTGACACGACCCCAGATTCCATCGAAGGCATTCTTGCCATGTCCAGTTGCGGAAAAAATTCATTTCGCTGATGTGTACTTGTTTCTCTGCAGCTCGTGTAGATTGTATTTGTTCTTAAAGTGGCTTGGTGCACTATCACTGACGTAGGGGGCATGAGCACACCCAAATCGGATTTCACGATTCTGCAAACCGTTATCATATAGATTAAGTTAGACAATCTCACTCAATCGCAATCCTTTTTTCTTCTTCTTTGTGTGGCTTTTTACGGCGGCGGATCTATTGGAGCTCACAGGCGGCGCAGGTTCAGGTTCTGCCGCGCCCTACCTCCTATATCATGTTACAGCCAAGGTTGTAGGCTGATCTGTTTGCAAAGTCATTCAGGTTGCTTCCTTTACGTCGCGTAGACGGAGACGCTAGACGCCGGCTGTTGAAACAGGCACCGCGAAGCATGTTACAGGGAGGCACCTCTCCATCGCCCGGGCCCATGGGCATTTTCGGTTCGGTTGTACCAAAGTGAATTGGAAATTTTCCGTTCAAAACTACCGTCCACCTTTGTGCTGTCAGTTTGTATATTCCCGACCACCCTGTAGCATTTTTCCGCTTTTTAATAATAATGAAATTGTGAAGAGTGGGTACGTGCAAGCCTCATTTATGGCAACGGCTTTAGCGTGAATTTGGCCATGTTTCTCGCGTTATAACTTAAAAGACACACAAATATTGCATTATGTTTTCGCAGATTCTGTTAGTAAATATTATGAATGTTAGTATCGGAGAGCTTAAAAAAGTTAAAGATGGCCTTTCTTTTTAAATGATTATAAAATAATGAATTTTTAGTTAAATGCTTATGTTTGAGCAACTCTTGTAAATGGCTGCCGCTAACCAGGACAATGAAATTTCAGGCACAGATGAACCATATAAAGAGAGACACACTGACAAAGCTTGAAGACCTAAGCCTTTATAGATACGGAGGGAAAGAAATCGTTAATCAAAAGCGTTATTGCGCAATTTGCAGTATTTACCATTTTGTTTCTCAAAATAACGACCCTAATACTCGGTGATAAATACTTTTTGTCAATCCTTCTTATACCTAATTTGTCAGTAAATATTTCTATACCAATGGCCAGAACAGATTTTTTGGGCGGAAGCCGTCCGAAATGCTAGCATCGCGCGATACGCAAAACCTGCACGTAACTGAAAGGGTGCCCCAAAAAAAAAAAAATTTTTTTTTCGCAGACAGTTTTTTTTTTTTTTTTGAACTAGGTTTGTTCATATTTTTTTTTTTTTGTATGAAGCCAGCAAAATATTTTTTTATCAAAATTAAATATGTTCACCGGATCATTTTTAATATGCTGTTTGATCTTATCTGAAAACGCCCTCCTGCATAACAGTAATAATATCGCATGCTACTGTGCCGGTGTCGCCGTTTGCTTGTTAGAATGATCTGGCTTCCGTTGGCTTGACGCCGACTGGGGTGCCAGAAGGCCTGCTTTTTTTTTATCTCACAATCTCACAATCTTTATCCCTCAAGAACGGTCCCGCGATTCATGCCTACAATCGCGGCATATTCTGAATGCTAGATGCAGCGCTACCTTGCACTACAGGGCTAATTGAAAAGATGCAACCGAAAGCTGAGAGATTGAGCAATTCATTACACTTTGTCGAAGCATTTTTCATCTGTAAGTAGACATGTCCCTTTATGTTCTTAGCATATATCTTGCTAGCTTCGTTTCGTCTGAAATCCAGTTTCCAAGCCATTGACTGGTTTTCGCCGTTGTGGCACTGCTTGCATCTTAGAGATAAGGTCACTTAGAGATGATGTAAAAACCGTGGGCAGTTCTCGACCACTGAGACAGGCGCGCGATCGCCATACCATCCCTTTTAACCCACCGTATATATAACACGAGTGAAAGTTGTTAAATTCTAGTTGTCTTCGTCCCCGTCCAAAGGGTTAGCTCGACGCCTCGTCGTCAACCTCTGGAGGTGTACTGCCTTTGCGCAACCTTTTGGTAGGGGTCGGTAGTTTTGTCTCGTTAGCGCTGTCGTCTTTATTTGAGTGGTAAATTTAACTCCTGTTTTTTGTTGGGGTCAAGATGCTTATTGGGACCTTCTAACCTTGGCCGCTTTTTTCGTTCAAGCCAATAGGCCTCTTATCATTCTTAACCAGCAAGTCGCCTAATTGCACTTTTTCCAAGGGTGATCAATCCACTCAAATGACAAGGAAACAAAAAATAAAAATATTGCTAACGAGTGCAGCGAGAAGATTGGACTTTCTACCTTAAACAATTATTCGAAAAAAAAATAGGCTATTCCATGTATAATTAATTACAGCGTAATTGGTATCCAGTGAAGCGTAGTGTTTCGTGGGCTGCGCTTTTCCTCCAGTCGGAAGTTGCTACAGGCTCCAAGTATGCAGCATTTCAATGTCAAATATGTTTTTTGGGGTCTATCCCAATATAATGGGGATCTCAAACTGCGGTGTGTTTCCAATGTGTGCAAGTCCACAGCACAGCATGCAATCTTCATGACCTAGCAGGCTCATGTCTGTCGCTCTGGAAAGCCTGCCATAGTAGGCGCCACTTAAACTAATGTTTAAAAGAGGCCACGGCCAGACGTTTCCCAAAATATGCTTCATCGCATGTGTTGGTCTTTATCAAACTATAAAGCACGCTTAAATTCCTGGATATTCTGTTCTTCTCTGCGGCGAAAGTGCTTGATGCCTGGGACAAATCGTAAAAAGCTACGAAGTGCAAAAATCGTATGCTACTTTCCTGAGAAAACCACGCATGGGACTTCTTGTAGAGGATGAACCCCGGTGTTAGTGAAGATGTCATGTATATAGCCCTTGAAGTCTAATTTTTGCTCCTTTTATTTTCTGCCGAATCTCCTCTTTAAATCAACTCTTTACCTCCCCATCCCTCCACCCAGGCGCAGTGTTGCCAACTGGGAAAATTACCCTAGGTTACCTTCCCCATCTTCGCCTTCTGTCCTTCCTTCCCTCCTCGTCAAGAAACAGCGCACACCATCAATGAACTTCAACTCTTCCAACCCGAACAAATTGGTCCGGCACTCACAGCAAGGCCACGCAACGACGGCGGCGGCCCGTGCCATACCAAACCCCTTTCGCTCGGACACGACACATAAAAACAAAACAAACCGCCCGGAGAAAGTTATGCTCGAGGGCGTCAACAGCCAACCCGAACCACTTTCCGAACCGAGAGATCACTCCATCGGAGTGGGTGGGGGAGGGAGAACACCGATGGCCGGCGATAGGCGAGCGAAAAAACCCTTTGTCCGCCAAACTGTCCACCCAAGCTACGTCGTGGTCGCGGAGGAAAAGGAGGTCGCCATCGACGCCTGCCTTTCACGGCGCGACCCATAACCGGGAGGCACGTGCGCGTGTGGCTGGCTGGTCGGTTCTCTCGGGGAACAAGAAAGCAAGCGCCTCCCATTCCCGGTCCGTTTCCCTCCCTTGCCCGAATCCGCTAGCGGCGGGCCCGGTATAAAAGCCTTGCCGAGTCCAGGACAGGACACTCTCTCGACCGTTCAGGAAACGAGCAAGCCACCTCCAAACATGTTCGCTGTGAGTACGCGGTCACTGGATAGGCGACGTCCGCCGCGTTTCGGAGTGGAACCCGTGGAAAGAAAAAGGGCGCAGGTTATGGCAACACCGCCCTAGATGACAAGGCCCGAGCGCTGGATTGCCTACGTCATCTACTGAAGGTCAACGTCGGGGCGTCGATTGGACGACAGTGACGCAGCACTCGTGTCCAATCTGCGTTCGACGCTGGTCACTTGTAGGTGACGTAGAAACTCTAGCAGTGCGGCCTTGTTAACTAGGGGGGTGTTGGTTTAGGGGCAAGCGACGGCGTCCCATAAAAAGGCCGTAATACTGGATTATCAACGTCATCAACGGGAGGCCAGCTTGGGGCAGAGATTGGGGACGAGAACAGTGTACGAGTTCGGCTGGAACTTTGTGTCCTATCTGATTGAACAGGGAAGCTGACGCAGCAGTCGAATCAGCGCCCCGTGCTGGCCTTCAATAAGTGACGTCACGAACTCCATCCTTGAGGTGTTGCTAGATGTGAGACTTTCGGAAAGATGCTGCTTGAGTGCGGGCGGAATCGGTCAGGTATTGAGAGGAAGGAACGACGCGGGTTAAATGCAAAATATTTTTTGATTAGAATGTACTTGGACTCTATATATAGAGAACCGAAAATAAGTCGACCCTATAAAAATTGCCTTCGAGTTAGACAACAGTAGAAGATTAAAGAAAAGAAAATATAATACTACTGTTAAGCCCTAATATTCTATCTACGCCGTCATGCCGGTACATCTGAAAGCTAGTTAACAGTGTTTTACATAATCTAACTAGAACTGGAATCCACTAGAAGCCTCGGAGGTTCAGCCGTCATTTTGTTTAGAAAACTAGCATGCGAAATGTCGACTGTCACATGAGGCTTCCAGGAAAGTTCAACCTCCAGTTCATCGAATCACCTTAATTTGTGTTTTGCACCAAATTGATCCAAAGTCTCATAGCAATCAACAAAAGACAGGTTACTTTGGCGTTCGGCCAAAACAAAGAAAGCCCAGCTCCTCCGCTAAATGGACTAGCGAAGACGGCTCTTACTCGGCGAATTACGTCAGCTCGATCCAGGAACCTGAGAGAGCGTAAATCAGCGTCTCGGTAGTCTCTTTCCGTAGGAGACACAATTAGCCCCCGGCTCTTACGGAGACTAAGGAGGTATGAGACGGAGCGAGCGGGGTGAAGTATAGAACGAGCGGAATTGCCCGTGCCCGTAACGACACCGCCTCGTCCCGCGTTCTCCCTCCCGTAACGGATACCATTACGGTTATCCTGGGAATCCAGGATAATGACGTCGGAGAAGGATCGTTAGAAATGCGGGTTGCTTCCTGGAGCGTGAAATAGATCTCAGAAGAAGAGAGAACGAATGAAGAAAAGGACGAACAATAGCTGCGACGCTTGTGCCTTCCGAAATGGAAACTTTTGAGAGCTGTAAACTTTCTTTAGCGTGTTTTTTATATACCTTTTTACGACACGTTTTTTTCTGAGCACAATGGGCTAAAGATTAGCAAGAGGCACGATTCATCCGTTGCGGTTAATAATGTCTCGAGTCTTCTACTCGAGGGAATGTTACGGCATGTCCCGCCAAATGATACAATTCTAGTAAGAGCTGGGTCATGTGATATTCTGTAGAAATCGAGGACGTAGTAACGTATTCCTGACCCTTTTACAGGACCCTCTTAGACGATTGGATTAGATTGAACTGAACAGAAGTTTAATGGCTCAACCTCTTGCATAGGGAATTAAAGTAAAAAAACTGAGAGAAGTTCGCATTTTTGTGTGTTGTGCAGTGTTGCGTTGGTAAGAGGGGGGTTTATAGACGCGAAACTACAAGAGGTAACAGTAAAAACTATTTCTCGAGTGGAACACTTTGTAACCAAACCGCGTTTCCTGATTTATTCCTTCTTAGTTGTTGCTGTTCCATGCACTCAATTCGTGCTCTGTGTTAGCAGGCGACAAGACGTATCGTGACCTTTCCCGCGCATGTGCCGTGCAGGTCAGCGCCCTCTTCCTCCTCGCCCTGGTCTGCATGGCTAACGCCGGCGGCCACTCCGCCGGAATCGTCAGCTCCAGCTACACCACCGCCGTGAACCACGGTGGTCGCGGCTATGGCGGCTATGGAGGCTATGGCGGCTATGGAGGTTATGGCGGCGGCTATGGCGGCTACGGACACGGTGGCTTCCTCGGCGGCTTCGGCTACGGTCACGGAGGCTACGGTGGCTATGGACACGGCGTCGCTGTCGCTGCCGCTCCAGTTGTCGCCAAGGTCGCTGCCCCAGTCGTCGCTGTCGGCCACGGCGGCTACGGTGGCTACGGACACGGTGGTTTCCTCGGCGGATACGGAGGTTTCGGACACGGAGGATTCGGCGGCTACGGTCTCGGCCACGGTGTCGCTGTCCATGCTGCCCCAGTCGTCGCCAAGGTCGCTGCTCCAGTCGTCGCTGTCGGCCACGGCGGCTACGGTGGCTTCGGTTACGGATATGGCGGACACGGCTATGTAAGTTAAATTCTAAGTTATATGGTGGTTGGCAGGGTTGAAATCTGTCTCCTTTAAGCCTCTGGAATCTAGATTCACAGTGTGTCTCTGAGAGACGACGTAAACATCGTTCTAATGGGCTTCTGGTGACAACACTTGTCCCTATTGTCACCACAACGGCCATCATAATCTCTGATGATGCCATTATCGTATAGCTTATAATCCCAGGTTGTCATATGTGAGAACGTTGTTCACAGCGAATGCTCATATGGAGCTTCCGCTTGTCGTCTGCTAAGAGCAACGCTCTAAGATGGCGTGGCATGCACGCTTGGAAAACCTTGTGGAATCTTGCCGTGAGCATACGCTCAACAGCAACGCCCTCAGCCATTACTGCTAGCCAATACCAAATATTGGTGGTCGGGAAATACTGATCGCCTCATGTTTTGTCCCCGGAGTGTTGCTGTTTTAACTTTTTTTTCTTTTCTGTCTTCTTTGCAGGGACACTAAGCAATTCATCTCAAAGGGAAACGAACACTTCTTCGCCGCTTCTTATTTATGCGCTTGGGCCGACCAGAGCGCCGCTGGAAGTTGACTTCCGGCGGGTGGAAAACGCGAAACCGTGTACAAAGGGGAACGTTAATAAATTACGACTACGCGCAAAAAAAAAAAAAACGCAACTTTTGCCTGTCTTTCATTTCAAGCACCCTTTTTCAGATGGAAGAAGCTCGCCACGGTCTGAATTGTTCCGGTGGCGGCTTTTCAATCCCTAGTTTACGCCAACCCTACAGTCGCTAAGAGTATAAGAACAGAAGGGCGTGGCAAGTCCCAGCGCATCTAATTATCACTTCACAGCAAATGAGATTGCTGCGCCAGCCGATAAGGACGCAGAGGAGTCAATCACGAAGCCTGTATTCACTGACACCTTAAGAAGCGCAGTTCTTCGGCGTTCCTATTCGCTAAAGCCGCAGGCTCACTGACTGCGAAACAATATTAGGACGCTCAGGACTTGCCTCAACTTGCAGTGCTTACGCTGAGAGTGACTATGCGGAGAGCAAGTCATCTGCTCTTTGCGCAGAAGTTCCGGAGACGTCAGAAAGACGCCGAGCTCTTATTGGCTTTCATTGAAAGATAAGTGGGCAGACCTCGATGCTAGATGACTCGAGGTCTACCTACTATTTTTGTTCAATCAGCCAATAAAACCTCGGCGTTCTGACAACATCACAACCCTGCTGCAAGAAGCAGACGAACTTGCGTTCCGCACACAGAGCAGAAAGTTAACCGGCTTACGTGATGTGTCGTGTCAGTGCAGTACAGAATGAAATACGACTGGAGCAGTACTATATTGCTAACCAGAAGTCTTCAGCGTGCATAGAATTAGTGATTGGAGGCATGCACGGGGGCGGGGTGTTCCTACCTTATTAAAATCAGCGAAGGTAGTTCCGATAGGGGGATTCAGAAACGCGTGCTCGTTTTTCCGCCGAATATAGAGCCAGCATATGCAAGACTCTTTTAAGAAGGTTCACTCGAGGGTCCTGACTGTATTAGTTTGGAGTCGTGTGTGAAATCTTACCAGTGGTAGTTAGAAGATTTGCACTTTTAGCATTTTAGTAGCATTTTAGTGTAAGCTCAGATTTCAGCGACAACGCGAAGAACAACTCAGATAATAGTAAGAATTAGTGGTAGAGTTATATAGAATGAATATTACCTGAGTAAGTACCGTCGGTAATAGCTATAAATGCATTTCAAAAGCAAAAATATCCCAAATGTAAATTATCCAGGACGACCTCACACAGGTGACCGTCATAGTTAAACGTCAATATGGGAGAGGTACTAGTGCTGTTATTGCTATCATCTTTTATCGCCTAAACAATATTAGTGTAGCAATTACTCTACAATTCACTAAAGTGTACTGTAGTGAATAACAGACATGGTTTAGTTATAGTTATCAGAGCATGATTTAGTTCGAGCTACTTTAGTGTGCTATAAAGTATAGTGCGCTAGAGAGTAAAGTTACTGCAGTGTGCAGTTACAACCAAGGTTACTATAGTGTACAATAGTGTATATTACAGACACAGTTGAGTTGTAGTTACTACAGTGTAGTATAGGATACAGTTGAGTTACAATTAATATAGCTGGATATAGGGTATAATTACAAAAGTGTATAAATACTGTACGGTATAATTACTATAGTGTATAATTACTCTAAGGAATAGTGACTATAGTACATCAATAAAGGTATAATTCTAGTGGAGCTCACGCTATTGTTACATGCTGTAATGTCAAAATTACGCTAAGATTCGGTACTCCAGAATATTACGAACTGAAACCCTCAGCTTTTTGATTAAGCGAGATTTTCAGTGCCCGTTACAATGCTAGTAAAATCTTGGAACTGCTTAATGGTATATATGGCTGGTTTCAAAGTGGCTAGCGCCGGGAGTACCTGATAGCTTGAGTACTAGTATATTCATTCGTGAACTTGGTAGAAACAAATCTATTATTCTGCAGTTGCGGTATAGTTAGATCCAAAGTTGGTTTTATTGAAGTTTCTATAACTTATTTAGTATCCGCGTAATGTTCACGGATTAGAGTAATATAACGCACATTTCCCAACTTTAGAATCTGATTTTTTTTTTTTTGACTTAAGCAAGCATTTTGGGGGCCCGATTTTCATTACAGTAATTCACTTCGCCATCGTGCGATTTAAGGCAGCAAGATTTTCTTTTTTTACTCCAACTCCATCCATGTTTATCCATCTAAAGAAACTGAAACCGTTGTCGCAGTGCTAGTATATCAAACAAAAGACTGTCTGCGGAAACTCTCTGAGGAGGTGTGTTTTTTCCTTGTATAAAAATGCTGTCACGTCTGTCATGCAAAAGCTGTCCGCAGACATGTTAGATGCACACGTATGTGTCAAGCAAACATGTTTCAAACATGTTTCGGTCGTGTCTGCAGAAACATTTTGTCATGTTCACAGCGAACTCCACGTCTTTTCTATGATGTATACAAGCAGGGAAACCGCATTTTAAGACTCCATTGAACAGTCTGTTGAACGGCGCGAATCGGCGACGCCGATTTCTTGTAAACGCTATTGCTGCTCTTCAAAGAGGACCATAATGAATTAAGTTCCGACCATAGAAAGGCGTCAGCGAGGATGGCGTGCGCAAGAAAATGGAGTATATTATATCTGACATGTCCAGTGAAACCAAAAAAAAAAGAAAAAAAGAAGTAAAGTGAAAGAATGACGGCTTTTGTTCGCTCGGCTTTGTCAGTGTCCGAGACTAAACAGCTCCCTTTGATTAAAGAGATTCTTACATGTCTCGTTCGCGAAACGAGCGGCCGAGTTAAATGGAGTAGAGTAATGGCATACCCGCGCAACACTCGCCCGAGGAGCTTTTTATTGTGCCGTCTTCGTGACGACGCAATTGAGAACTCAAACAAATTTAATAGCGCTCCAGTTTTTATCGCATTAACTTTGAAGGATAAGGCAAGAAAAAAAAACGAATGTAAGGGCAAAGGTTCGCTCGTGTGAAAGAAACGCTAAATAAACAATAACAAAAAACGAAGATAATCGGTTTTCAAAATTGCATTCGAATCAACAGCAAAAATGATTTGTTGTACTATCTTTGTTCTCGACAAATCATAGTTTCGATCTTTAGTGTCAATACAAGAACATTATCTGAGCTTTGAGACAATATCTACAAAAGGGGTTCCTGTCTCTGGTCATTAAGAAGTACTACATAGATAGAAAAGAAATTATTTCAACAGGTTGTCAGGAGAAATGTATACTCTTCTTATCTAGGTAAACAAGATTTTCGAAACAGAACAATGTGAATAAGATTGATTAGAGTCACTCAGATCTTTACGCAAAGTCCACTCTTGAGCTTTCGTTCGCCGCCGTCTGTTGGTGCCAGTGTTTCCAAAACGAACCATCCAGCCGGTCGGTGACGACGAGAGGATGATGTAAACTAAACCTAAAATAAAAATCTTGTTGTAATATTTTTTGTGTTTTTTTTTTTTTGCTTACATCTATTGATATACTGCTCTATATTTAACAAGTCCTCGAAGAGAAAGGAATCTCCGGTGTCGTTCGATTCAACGTTCATCAATGGTGTAAGTGCCCTCGAGGTAACGACAAAATTATAATAGAAAAAAAAAGAAACCCCAGTGAATTAATTATATATCGCTGCTTTTATATGTTAGAGCACATACCCTATCTTTAGGACACTGCCGAAAAGAAAAAGTCTTAGTCCCCAAGTCTGGTCAATATAAAATGACACGACGACGTACCCTATGCAATTTAAACGACAAAGCCCTAAGGTTTCTGCTCGTACGCTTTCTTCGATGGCGAGTGCTCAAAAATTAAGGAACGAAAACAGGTGACGTCGGATGCCTTACAGCTTACCCTATAATGACCCTACTAAATTAAATAATCAAGGAACCAACCAGAAAACGACCAGGTAATGAGCGTGCTTAAATAAAAGCCAATTCGAAGATTATTAAACTAACGTAAGAGAGAGTTTAAGATGGTCCTGTTCACTAACGAACATTCATAATGGAGCCGGCTTTGACGTAGACGGATTATTTTTTTTTTTCAAAGACAACCGCATGTACTTTAAAACGCGGAGTGCTTTCTTTGTTTCTTTTTTTTTTCCAGTTTGAGTGTTTTTGGTGTGTCTGTTCGAGCACTTAAGGTCGCGTTTGCACAGATAATGCATCATACCAAAAACGGTCTAGAGACAGCATTTGTGGCATGTTTGTTTTTCTTTCTTTCCTGCCCCACAGGCCATATAAAAAAATGTCTATAGACATGCTAAAGGCACACAAATGTACTCAAACATTCTCCAAACAAGCTTGAGGCGTGCCTGCAGGTAATTCTGTCATCATGCCAACACCTTGACTTTTGTACGATGTGTTGGGCAATACGACAGCGGGCATTTGAAAACGCGCAATTCGCAGGATCTCGCCAACTGTAGGGAAGAGGAGCCATTAGAGGGAAAAACGGACCATAAACTTTCCCAAAAGTTTTCCCCAAGTTTTCCCGAAGTTTCCTCAAGGTACTTTAAAGGGCTGGAGAACCCCACTTAAGTAAAGATGTTGAGAAGTACTGGACCGTCTACAGCAAAAATAAATTCTCTCAAATAATATTGAAAACAAGCATACTCACGTTAGGAATTTTTACTGATTTCTTTAAAGATTTTGACCGGCTATATAAAAATATATAATGGAAAAACAATTTTTATGACATTCGAGGGAATTCCTTAGCTTTAGTTGAAAATTCAATGAACTGTCCCCAGCAAGCTGTTAAAATAAACGTGTGTTATTAAGTGTTAAAACCAGTTCGTACAGGAGTACCTGTACGAACTGGTAGTGTTCCAGGGATGGAGCTTTTTGACCTGTTTATAAATAATATAATCAATATTGCAAGGAATATTTTATGTGTAATTTATGCTGATAATTGTAGTCTTCTTTTTCAAGAAATAATAATGATAGGCTTGTTTCTGATTCTAACACTTGCCTAGAAAAGCTAAACACTTGGATTGGCTTAAAATCTTTAAAAATAAATTAAAGTAAAACAAAAGCAGCTGTTTTCAAACTAAAATGTAGAGTGTACAATGGCAGCGCA